GACCCTGACTCAATCGTACCCAATGGCGAGTGCTTCCTTTCGGTTCGCTTCGCTAGGTACCATAACGCATTTCATTCCAGCTGCTTTAGCCGATCGACCTCCGTTTGGAGAATCTTCAAAAACGAGAACTTTACTAGGTTCGCTGGGTTGGACTGCAAACCTCAAATTTTAACAATTTGTCGCGAAATATTTCTACTCAGCATAACATACCTCTTCATGGTTTCCAGGAATGGATCAGGATGAGGTTTGCCTCGAATGTTCGGATACTTGCCACAAAAAAACTGAAATTTAGTATTTATTAGTAGTAAAACATTGGACCGAGCAAGGTTGTTAGTCGTAAAAACAGCGTTATGTCTTATGGCTTGTTCTATGCTCTTTGTCTTATCCTAGCACCAGTGCGTTGCCTCTGCTATCTTCTGCTAATTACTTGAATGTCATCTTAACAACTGGATTTCGAAATCGCGCGTGGATTGCTACAAACTATTCATAAATGCTCTCCCATAAGAAATTATTGGATTTGGAAGGAGGAAGTTCCAAAAGAAAGATAATCACATTATTGGAGTAATTTGCTAATGGTTTTCGTTTTCCAAGAAGTTGAAGCTGATACGAGCATTTCTAATCACAAATTGTCTTCTTGGGCAGAAATTGCACTAGACAATTCAATCTATAAGCCTTCCGCGATGTCCTCAAGAGAAACGCGATTGCGTACACGAAGATAGTTCATGACTGGAAGAGGCGCGGAGAAAACACGCGGCCAGCGTGGGGTGGAGGACTATATGCCGAAAGTGGCAGGGTCTCGCTGCGGGTCCGGCACGTGGTGGGCAAATGACAAGCTGGAAAACGTTTTGGGTGAAAGAAGCGAAGGGGATATCGTTTTTTGCGAGGTCCAGAGGAACCCGGATAAAAATTGGTAGTTTATGCTCTCTGCTTATCTCAACGTGTTGACATTTCTCAACACGTTCAACAGGCGCGCAATGGAGTTCGCGCGCGTCAAATCGCGCTGTCGCTGGTTGCCGCACGCGCGACGTGCTTGACCGATGCCTTTTGGAAAAACATACATGACTAGTTCTCAGTGCATGCGTAATTATATGGCACCAAATTATGTAAGCGAACAAACAGAGGCTGGTGGAAACAAAATATGAAAAATTATGAAAAATTTCTGCGAATGGAAAGTGTAATAAACATTTCCAAAAATTTCCCATAATTGGTGAAGAGTTGTGAATTCAAATAGCTCGTTTGCGAAGCACAGGCGACGATATGGTTTAAAACTTGGTATTTACATAGGCGCATGCACGTAGTAGTTAACTGAGAAGTTTCATTGAAAAGTTATATGACTGAAGGTTGTGGCAAGCTTTTTTCTGAAAAT